CCTCCATCTTCAACCTCTGTGCTATCAGCGTGGATCGGTAAGTGCCTTCCTCCTCTTCGTGCTGGGAGGGGGGGGAGCGCTGTGTCCTGGCGTCAAGCTGCTGCCATAGACGCCCCTGCAAGGGTCCCACGCTGGGAGGCCAGGTCCTGTTCTCCCCTAAGGAGGGTGTTCTGCCCTCCCCAGCACCAGCTTCGCATCCCGTCAGTACCCTTGAGGTGGCCGAGCTGAAGGTACGGGCGTGCGACGAGGCCAGGGCTGTCCCCTTGGGTGCTCTGCTGAGGGGGCAGACTGGTTGTAGCCCAGGCCTCAGCTACTTCAGTAAATTAATAGGGGGGGAAGGAGAGGAGCAAGCAGCTTTGGGACCACTCCGCTTGTGTTACCCATGGTGACACCACCGGACTAGGACTGACTCACCTGGGGCCTGTATTGGCAGGTTTATCGCTGTTTCAATCCCACTGAACTACAACCGGCGACAAATCGACCTGCGGCAGTTGATCCTTATATCCACCACCTGGATATTTGCCTTTGCTGTAGCATCTCCTGTCATATTTGGTCTCAACAACGTCCCAAACCGGGACCCCAGCCTGTGTCAGCTGGAGGATGACAACTACATCGTGTATTCCTCCATCTGCTCCTTCTTCATCCCTTGCCCCGTCATGCTGGTGCTCTACTGCGCCATGTTCCAAGGGCTCAAGCGCTGGGAAGAAGCCAGGAAAGCCAAGCTAAGGGGCAGCATCTACGGGGCCAACAGGAAGCTGTACCACCCCTCCACCTTCACCGAGAGCGAGCGGACCGGACTGGAGCCAGAGGAGTGCAGCCCTTACGCCCGCTCTGACCACCCTGGGGACTATGTGACGGACAATGGGATCCAGACTGTCTCCTACCCGCACCTCAAGTACCCACACCCAGGACACAGTCGGAAGCGGGCCAAGATCAACGGCCGGGAGCGGAAGGCCATGCGGGTGCTGCCTGTCGTCGTCGGTGAGTAGCAGTCGGTGACGGCTGGGGAAGGGCGGGGGGTGCGCTGCGCTGTCCTACGCAGGCTTCACTCCGGCAGGAATCGTTTGAACCTGGCGAAGTGAGCGCACGCTTTGCGGACTCCCCTGCCAAACAACCCAGGCACGGGTGCTTGGGCAGCAATGAGAGGTGTCACACTGAGCGCCAGGCTTTGCTCCAGCCTTGCTGGAGGAGGGTAAGGGCGAGATAAAAGCCACCTCCCTCTTGTTCCACCTCCCCAGTGGCCTGTCCTTGGTCCTCCTCCCTCTCGCCACGTGCGGACTGGTCTGAACACCCTCCCTGCCCTTGTTCCTGTGGAACAGCCTGGTTGTGGCTTTTCCTCCCGGGGTTGTGGCTTGCCCTGCCGCAGCCCTCTCTCGTTGGGCAAGGACGTTTATCCAGTGAAAACCTCAGCATCCCTTTGAGCCAGAGTAGCGCCAACAAGTAACCACCCTTGGGAAGGAACCTCCGTACGGTGTTCATAATCCAACCAAGCTTTTCTGTGACTTCCGACAGCGTAAATGCAAAGCGATATTAGACTTAGACTTTTTGTCACCATTTAGGACACCTAAAACATCCTAAATTTTTTGCCTGGGCGTAAGCCCAGCTCTACGTGTCAGCACATCTGCTGCTTTTTCCCAAAGTGCTCTGAGCTGTCTCCATTTCTGTCTGGCCCGGGCTGTGTTTGCTAAATTAAACCCCTTTTAACATTCGCATCACTTTCTCTCTTTAATGTCCTTCCGGCAGGTGCTTTCCTCTTCTGCTGGACACCTTTTTTTGTGGTCCACATTACCAGGGCTCTCTGCAAGTCCTGCACCATTCCCACTCAAGTCACCAGCACTGTCACTTGGCTGGGTTACGTCAACAGTGCTCTCAACCCCATCATTTATACCGTTTTCAACACGGAGTTCAGGAACTTCTTCCGCAAAGTCTTGCACTTCTTCTGCTGAGCCCACCGGAACCGGCGGGGAGAAGGAGCAACCAGGCTATTTTTTTTGTATAGTTCATTAAAGATCTATTTCTGCCTAAGGTCTGCTGTCTTTGTTGGGAGGAGGGAAGCAGGAGAGATGGCAGCTAAAGGATGCCGCTTCCCAGCCCTTTGGTATAAGGAGTTACAGGTGAGTACCGGCGGCTACAGCTCACATGCCCCCCCCTCCCCCCCACTGGAAACTGCACTTTTTTAACTCTTGGTGCTTGACAAAAGCGGCACGAGACAGCAGGGATCATTCTCGGAACAGCTCCTGCTTTGAATTTAGGGGTTTGGTCTGGTTTGGGCTTCCCCCAGCTGTTGCTAAGCAAAGTAAAGCGCCCCCGGTCCCTGCCGTGACCCAGGGAGGCAGGAGAGCTGTGAAGCCTGCAGCTGCTCTGGCCCCTGTGCGGGGAATCCAGAGCCGGCTCCGGGCCTGCGTGGGCTCTCTGGCTGCTGGGGGGGCGTTAACAGGGCTGGGAGGTAACATGGACAGGGGGCTGGGGGGAAACAGGCTGTTGAGCTTATTTCCCCCATGTTCACATGCCAGATGAGGGCGTATCTACCTGTGCAACCTCCTTTCCCTTGGCAGTTTTAAATCCAAAGACTGATTTGACAAGGGTCCTACGTTAAAGTCCTACCAAAAAGAAAAAAAAAACAAACCACAAACCCAAACAAAAGGGCCCTGCCCAGTATTCCTGACTCCCCTCCCCGGGCAGGAAGGCTGGCCCTCGCCGAGAAACGCCAAAATTTGGCCAAGACCTGGAGAAATGTGAAGCGACTGCTGTGGGGCAGCACTGCTCTGCAAGCCCACAGCGTGCAGCGGGCGCTCCCAACGCACTGGAGACGGGTACGGCTCATCCCCCCAGCACGCGGCGAGGCCGGGCTGATGAGGAGACCCGAGCGCGGCTGACGGCTCACGGCCGCCTCGCTCGTTACCAGCGCACAAAACAGCGTTCCTGCCTCGCTAACTGTTGTGTGTTCCCTGCTGGGGAACGGCGAGGGGTTGCGCTGAGGCTGCCGGGGCACGGAACACGCAAGGCTAGCCAGGACGGGAGTCGTAACGTCCTTGTAAGCCTGCGTGCGGCTGCCTCGTAGTAATTTCAGAGTTACCCGCCCAGAGGCACAACGATGCTGTCGCTGGTTCTCCAGAATCCCTTATCAAGCCGTACGATGCCTGCCGGGAACCATTTCCAGCCTGCAGGAAAAAAATCCTTGATACCTTTTGGTAAAGCTGAGGGCAGTGACACCAGGGGTAGCCAGAGGGAGCAGCTAATTGCCGTTCTCCGAGGCTCGGGAGGGAGGAAAGCGGTTATTGTGCAAAGCAGCAATCTTCTGAGCAATGATTTTTTGTGTAGGCTTGTTGTTTTCCAAGGGGCAATTTCCTTGCTTAGAAACAAAAGGAAAAAAAGTCTTGCAAGGAGGTCTGAAGCTTCTCTTTGACTAAGAATAACAATTGCTTGATCAATTTGTCATCAACAAACAACTGAATTCCCACGGTGATTATCTTGTAAATTTTTGAGTTCTGCAGTTTGCCACTGCGCTGGGGCACAGCTGCCCCGGATGCCAGGGCTGGCGCTGGTGGGGAGCTCCCCGAGAGCTTTAATTAGCAAGGCAACAAGACCTTTAAGATTCACAGAGGAAGGAACGGGCTCGTCAGAAACTGCGAGTGTCAGACTCCAGTATTTCCCATCATGTTTTTCTCTATTATTACTTTCCTGCCACTCTGGATAGGATTTTCTCCTTTTGACAGCATTTGTGACACCCTGATTCAGAGGTGACCCCTCTTGGAGCGTAAGCTAAGCAGGATTCCTCCTCGCCCACCAACACTGAATTGGAGTGACCACCCGGACAGGACAAGTAACCCCTCACCGTTGCTATGCCTGGGGTGAAAAAAACCCACCAGAGAGGTGCGCGTGTCCACTGAGACTCCTCCAGCCTGGAGCACTCATCTTCAAACACGAACAAGGGCGTCTGATTAGCCTAAATTATTAAAGAAGTACATTAATAATTAAGTGATTTTGTTGCAGTGAACAAAGCAATTAACTCGCTAATGCTCACCACGCCTTCAGTTAGCAGCCACCAAACGGCCGTGACAGGACGGCGCTCTCCTAACGCGCTCTTCCTTTGGGGTTGCTCAGGTCTGACTTTGGCCAGACGGCCACTACGAGCTGCGGCCAAGGCGCGCCACCGGAGGAGCCCGTGCCTCCCCCGCTGAACCAGCCCCGTCCCAGCCGGCCTCCTACGGAGAGGGAGCGTAAAGAGAGGCGCGCCCAACCGCAGCCGCGTCGTAGCTGCGCCAACCCCCGACGGCCACGCGGCAGCCGCTTGCTGCATCTATCCGTACGTTAAAAGTGCTGCCGTGGGAATTAAACAGCACCGCTGGGCACGCTCAGGCTTTCACCGCATTTTATTTAACAACATGTTAATTTTCACTTGAATATATTCAAGTGCAGAAGCTCCAATGTGTTCCGAATTTGCCCAGCACAGCGGGAACACAGGGAAAAAAAAACAACAAAAAAAAAAAGTCCTTCCAATGGCAAACTAAGAACTTGTAGTGACTTTTTCAAGGCAATTAAATAAACCGAATGAACGTTCGCTTCCTTTTTCAGACAAGAGGTAGGGAGGCGCAGGGAGAAGGAAACACCGGCAAATCTTGTTGCAGCGCCTGCTTTAGATCCATCTCAAGAGAGATGATGAGATTGCTGTAATCCACACGGTGGAGGTTCCGGTCTGGCAAAGTCGAAGCTTCCTTAGGCCCAAGGTGGCTCCCAGCTGCTAGGCTGCAGTCAGGTGGGGTTTGTTTTTCCCAGCTGAGGTTTTCACAGTCTCTGTATGATTCAAAGTTTTGGAAGAGGATCGGGAGTAGGGAAATGCTGTCACAGTATCAAAAAAAGTCTTTCAAAAATGAGTTTGCTGGAGAGAGGAGTGTGGTTTGTAAAGGCCAAGACCGTTCAGGCCGGGCTGCCGATCCAGCCGGCCGCCCCACGCTGTTCATGAACGGTTGAAGAGGTAGGTGTGCTCAGACGGTGACTTTCTCCATTACGCTGTCTGTGACGTGCACCTCGTCAGCCTGCACCGTCACTGTGGCCGACTGGCCGCAGATATGCTGGTGGTCCTTCCAGTCCTGCGAGGGAAGGGCAGATGGAAAGGCCATGAAGAGAAAGGGCCCTCGGCAAGTGTGCTGCCTGCAAGGGCACGCCGGGCCCCAACAGAAGCCCCCTCTGAGACACGCTCGCGCCAGCACAGCTGGGCTACAGCGGGTCTCTAGTGCTCGGCCAAACACGACTAACGACGGAGAGGAAAGGATCCACACACTGGGTCAACGCTAGAGACAGACACAAACTGAGCAGAACGCTGGCTTCTCAACCCAAAACCCAATCCAGGACATCAAGGTCAGTTAGGTCGTGGAAAAATGTTACTAAACCAGTCAGAACCTTGACTTCAACCCTCTCCTGCAGGGCAGCGGACCACAAGCAGCGCCCACAAAGGACAGCGCCACACAAGGGGTCTCAGTTCCGTAAGGGCTAAGGAGAGGAATGCGACTCCTCCCAAGGCTTTAACTTCTAGTTCTGAACTAAACAAACGGCTCCTCTAACTTCCTCGGCTCAGAGGTCGCACATCACGGGTGACAAGTACAGGGGGAACCTCCGGATTCAGTTACTGACGAGCACTCCAGACCCCCGCCCTCTCACAGTGCAGAGCACCAGCCACAGGCACGGGCTGACGTCCCCTTGGGAGCGACACGCTGTCCAGGAGGGGAACAAAAGGCGACTGTTGGGTGCCATTCCCAGTGCTCTTTGTAGTGAGAGGACAGCAGGGCGGCGTTCCTGTCCCTGAGGTACCTGGGGGGGCGGCAGGTAGGCTGCCTAAGTTTTCTGCAAGCGGCATTTGTGTGTCGTTCTTTGGAATTTTTAATCTTTCTGCTCTGCAGACAGAGGAACTTGGGCACCATTACACCGTGTTACAGGCAAAAGGAAACAGAATTGCTCAGCTCCTCAGTGCCCCTGGCATCAGTTGATGAAAACTGAACTTGGACAGCCTGCAGAACTGTAACCCTGGCCAACCCAAATTATCCTTTCCTCTAAAGCAGGGCGCCAAGGGTCTTTGTGAGGAACCTGGGCAAAACATGAAGCACAGCAGTTTCCTCCACTGTACTTCCTCATACCTGTTTCCACCTCCCATGTTCAGAATCCTAGACTTTGTCCCACTGTGTCATCTGGAGCATCACAAATAATGCAAATAAGAGAACGATGTCCTCAGCGAGGCAGCAGGAGCACAGGCGCTCAGGAGGGTTCAGCTTACCAGGAAGTGGCAGGGAAGGGTTGTAGAAGTGCTCCCAGCTCTAACTGGTCCCCACAGCTCCCATGGTAAGGTGCCCACGCCTTCGTTTCTGGTGTTACTCGGATTTTTAGATTGCCTTTGAGAAGGCGCGTGCAAATCTGGGGATTTTCCCTACCCACCTGATCCAGGCGCTGACCCGCAGCCCTGCCCCATCTCTGCGGGGTGGGTTTGGGCTGCTGGGGCTGCTGGCCCACGCAAGCCTCGTGCTCTGGCTGCCTGCGTGACACAGCAAGTTCCCCTGCCCGCCCCTCTCGCTGTGCTTGCGCCCATCAGGCAGCCGGCAGAGCCGCCTGGGTCTCCCCCGGGTCACACAGCCCCCTCTGAACAACTGAATCTGCAACTCACAAACAAGCTTATACCTTCCGCTGGCAGAAAGTGGAGCAGTAGTTGACTTTGTGGCATCCTGTGCACTCGTTCGTTGCCTCACGACCACAGTTGACGCAGGACTGCTGTGAAAACGGACAGCAAAGCGACCACGTCAGAGGTAACAACAACAGCGAGATCACCGAAGTGTAACGCAGGTGCTGTAATACGACGCGATGCAGGAGCAGTGGTAAAGCCCCCATTTCCCAGTATGTCCTCGACACACAAAACAAAACGAGCCCAGTGCCTTCTGGAAACGCTGTCAGAGACCCACGCTCCTTGCCGTGTCAGCTGGGGTCACTTTGGAAAAAGAAATGCACCTCTCTTTCCCCACCTGGCGGGCAAGAAGCCCTTCAAAACCAGGGGAGAGATAATGAGTGGTCATGGAAGTCTCCTCTCGGCACCACAAAGCTGCCTCCCTCCACGCAGGCCGTGTACCGTAGCAGCCGCAGCCAGGTTACTGCAGGCTGTCGTCAGTCCTAACCAAGGGCGGGTGTGTTCCAAACAGCGGTGTACATCGATGCCCAAGCTCTGAGTTTACCTCAAATTTAAAGTTCTAAAAGGTGGATTTGGTTTGGTTTATAATCCTGCGTATGTCTGAGAGAGGGTCTAGAGGAAGGCCAAGAGCAGGCCTAAGGATGGGACCCTTCCATTTAATCTTTCCCTGCCAGTCAGCAGCACGACTAGGGAAGCAGTGTCCCAACAGGGAGACAGAAGACAGAGGAGTAAAATTAAGAAGGCTGTAACAGGAGTGAGGACTTAAACCTGAAAGTAAGGTGAGACAGGATACATGGGTGAAAAATCACACCTGGTTTATAAAGGATGTTTTTGTGTCTATCGCTTTAATCTTGTATCGGTGACATCAATTAACATAACCTGTGTATTTAGGTGGAAATATCATTGAACTACCACAAAAATAAGCATTTCACAGAGCACTCCGTCTCCAGCTCATTAAATTACTGACAAATCATTAGCACGTCAGAGCAGCAGTGTGAGGCCGTGACAGGAAGCGTTTCTCGGCTGTGAAAGTATCGCAGGCGTCTTTAGTTCCCACCAGCCCCTTCTCTCTTTTGAGCACAGCCAACCTAACAATCAGCACCCTGATGAACACTGAGATCATCACACCATCTGCTCACACCTTACCAACGTACCTACAATTAATAGTTGGCATGACTGAACTATATTTGTATATTCCTGATGTACAGCCAGGGATTCAGGCCACCAAAACGGGGCTTAAAGCTGCTCTGTGGGACCTGCAAAGCCAGTCCCAAAGGGGTACCCGAGTGAGGCTGTTCGTAAGCTGTACAGGATCG